TAACCATCGTCTGCAGCTGGGGAAGGCCATGGCTGCTCCAGTTCTTCTGTGTGGCATGCCGTAACGTAAAATGGCATTAAAGCAACTTTTAAATAATGCAAAAGGACAGAAACGAACGCCACATACCCATTCGAGTATGTGCAAATTCCTGCTTAAATACTTTGATTTGGAATCGCATCTTCAACAGTGGCTGAATAAGACACAAAGAGAGAAGAGAGAGAGAGAGATATCATGTCATGTTGCAGCCCTGAGGAATGCAAGGATGTCCAGCAAAAACGAAATGAAAGGACCCGACCGGACTCTGCTCAGTGGCCAAACATATTTGCTTAAACTTTAACATGTTGTCCTTTAGAATTTTTAGCAATATTTGCTGCAGCTCTTGGCCTTGCAACATTTTGTGGCAGCATATTTCCAGCGCTTGGACACAGGCCAAGCACAGTTTCAGGGTGAATAGCTGAGTGTGTGTGGTGTGCTGTGGTGTGCTGTGCTGTGGTGCGGTGTGGGGGCAAAAATACAAAAAAATATGTAGAATAAATAAGCTTCCAAATTGTTTTGTCATACGTGCGGTCGAGTGTGGTTGCAGGGGCAAGGAAAGCCAAAGCCCACCCGTTGTGTGTCAGCAGTGGCTCGATTCTTGTGTCCATTCAGGTCGCGCTGGTCCTGCCTTGCCGGACATGTCGAACTGCTTGCTCGGACTGGATTGCTTATCCTTTCTTCTTGAGCGGGTCTATTATTACAGCTGGCTGGACCCCAAATGCCCAAAAGTGTTCCCCTCGAAACGTGAAATGTGTTTAACCTTGAACTTCAAAGCTTCAGCCCTGACCCGAACCCACCTCGACCCCGCCCTGAATTCTGGATTAATCCAGCTCCACCCGGGACTACTTTCCCCGAGTTGGTGACTTTTCATGTGCGGCGCTTTTCACAGGCAATTTAAGGCCGTAAATAAGTTTTATGTTTCTCGATTTTGCTTTTATTAAATTAACTTTTTCTTGATTACTTGCAAACTTCATTCGGGAAAAGATTCAGTCTTCCAACGGAAATAGCCCGTGAGGACAACGCGAATGAGGACACCAAGGACGATGGCTGTCGCTGTCGCTGTCTCGTCTGGCCGCGTCCATCTATAATTTTACACCATTTTATAATTTCAGTTTTGCTCCTAGCACGACAGCTCCTGCTCAGCCCCGACCAACTTCCACTTCCGCCGAGTGCGCTGGGCCGTAGACCTAATAAAGACACATCCGGGGGGCTCCCTCTCAGAGTCGGTGGAGGGGCACTCGAAGCAGAAGACAGACCTACCGCCCACAGGTTGCTTAATTATCTCTGGTGTAATTTAGTGGCTGGCGAAAAAGGCTTTCCATTTTAATTTATTTGACCACTGAAAGGATTAGATTAGATTAGATGCCCTGATAAATGGCCGCCATCTCATCTCATCTCATCGCTAGTTAAATAGCAAAAGTGTTCACTCAATTCGGCGGCCCCAGCGGCCCCAGCGGCCGCGGCTAATTGGGTTAGTTCAACCCCTGCACCGAGAATGGACAACAAACCCCGCACCCCGCACCACGCAACGACTGGGAACGAACGAAAGTTGCTCTTAAGACTGATTATCATATTTTCTGCTTGAAAAGTTTCATATTCAGGCCAGTGGAAAAGCAAAAAAAGTTGAATGTGGCAACCAAATTGAGTTTTCGAAAGGAAAGACATTTTAAGAGGCTAAATTGTACTTTGGCTTACACAAATATTATCATAGCCTTGGGGTTATTCTTGAATTTATTTTAGTTAGATCTTTGGAGGTTTCTTCAAATTAAAGACTCACCAAAGAGCTGCACCCAAAAGCCAGCGAAAACTTTCTGTTTGTACCCACAAAAAAAGGTACAACGATTGACGATGCGGTGTGTCGCAGGCATTCATCATACATTAGCAAAATTGAATTCAAAGCGATTCATAAGTGAATGCCATAGGGACACGGATACACAGGGACACATACTCAGCGTTAAGTAAATGTATAAATGTATAGGTATAAATCAACTGCGGCACATCCGCAGCAGAATCCACCGAAATGCGAAATCCGACTGCTGACAAGTGTCACTGGGAGATGCTATGACAAAGTGTCAAAAGAATGTTTGACATGTGACTGTCGGTCTGTCTGTCTTTCTATCTGTACTTCTCTCTCTCTCTCTCTATCTCTCTCTCTCTCTCGCTGTCTGTGTCCCGTGTGTAGCCTGTCCAAATGTACATTTCTCATATCTTTTCATTGCTGTGCTGTGCTGTGCGGAGCGAAGCCTTCGCCTTCTACTGCTCTCTCTTCAATTTTTTGTTCGTGCCGTGCTTTCATATTGCCGCTTTTTGTGCAAACTCCTGCGTGCTCTTTCTTATGCATGGACTATCGCCCGATTCCAATGAGATGCGGGCACAGGTACGGGTAGTGTATGGGGCCTCTTTCTGACAGTCTCACACGTTTTTTTTTTCGCCTTTGGCCGGTTGGTGTCTTATGTGTGACGGGGTCTGTCCCCGTGGCGATCCTTTTAGCACCTGCCCGAGAAACCCGAGGTGTATAATTTCATCTGTCAACTGATTTGCCGATTTGCCTACGGGGCTAGGGAGGGAGTTTTTATCTAGAAACCACTGACAATGCTGGCAGAGAACAGTGCAGAAAGGAAAAGGGAAATTGCATCATCTTGAACGCTGGCAAAAACAGGTTCCAGACATCTCCCAGACAAGCAGCTATCAATGAATCGACAGGTTTAAAAGGAATCCCATGTTGGAGCACAAGTAATTCCTGCGTTCTCTCTCTCTCTCTCTATCTCTCTCGCTGTCTTTTTTATATGCTCTCCAATTGTCTGTTATGTTGTGGATTGCCTTTGCATGCATAATTTTCAATTGGCGGCACAGGAGGAGGAGCACAAACTGAAACAGGAGCCGAAGCAGCAGCGTAAAGGAAAAGGTAACTCGATTTTAATTGGAGCTGCTCGCGCCTTAAACCCGCTTTGCATATCGCGGCTCCTCTTTAGGGTGCGTTCTCGTCACTTAAACTTACAGAGCGATGCATTTAAGTGCGTGCCAAAGGTCAGCAGCAGCAGCAGCAGCAGCACCACCATGCACAAGGCACAGTCGCAGCCCGTTCTCTGGGGAACTCCCATTCAGCCGCAAGTGGGTCAGTCGTTAGAGTTGATAAGCAGGAATCTGCCCCATGCCCCAAGACTGAAAAGGTGTTGCCACAAGATATGACGACTAAGAACTGGGGGGAGTACCTGGCATAGCAATGCGGAACGTAAGCCAACAGTTGCGCTCTTTGTGGCATGCAAGTCTACAGGTGCAGAGAGTAAGTTTGCATTTGTGGATTGCCAGCTAACAGATGTGGAACGTGGATGTCAAGTTAGCAGTAGGGGAAGGGCAAAGCATTGTGGATCCAAGCTAACAGCAGGGGAAAGCAACGCATTGTGGAAGACAGTTTGTGTTGGGAATTTATGTCGAATGGGAAATTCGTTTGGCTCTCAGCTCGGAAATTAAGGCAGCAGAGGCGCTTACTTGTTGCCTGTTTTAGTGGCAATTTTGAAGAAGGAAACACGCAATTCTCCTGTATAGCCTACCGAACCTGTCTCGCTAAAACTACAAAAACGTTATCGAAATCTTTATAAAAAACTATAATACAAACTGAAAGGTTGTTATTAATATAAACAACACAAAATAATATGCAAACTATGGCAAACATGCATACGTGTGTGTATGTTGGTGCCTCCCACCCAAAACTAACAGAGAGCCTAAAATAACTGACGTCAGCGGTTGACCGATGAAATTTTTGGGGCCGAAAACGCAATCTCTGTGGGATAACTGGCGGGCAGCCCTCTTCCCCTCCCTTCGGTGTGTTTGCTTCAATACATTTCTATTTGCGGTCCTGTCTTCGTGCTGAAAAGGGACTGTTGACATTGGCCCTGAATTGGATTAACTTTTGGGGGGGGGGGGGGCAGAAAGGGACAGCGCCAGACCAGCGCCCGCCATTCGTTCTGATAAATTCCGGACAACTTGGAAACACTCGAATAATTAACTATGAGAAGAATGTAGCCTCAAATGTGGGTGGCCTTGGGCATCGCAGTTGCTGAGAGATTTGAGACTTCACAGTACAAAATTCAAGTATAATTCCTACGCGTCAAGAGAGATGTTGCATAAATTGATAAATAATTCGAATCCAATGGCCAAACCGCAGACGAAGCAATTGTTGGCCCATTGCCTCAATGGGAAACACTTTGGCATGATGCCGAACCTCTTTAAGGATCGGAATAAAACGATTGTGAGGGACACTTTCGTGCCGCATCTGGGACTCTCTTACAATCCCCTCAAGTACTACCTGAGCAAGCTGCAGCTGTGGAAGCTGCGCTGGACCTGGGACCGCGACTTCCGGCAGGACGAATTCCTGGAGCACACCAAGGAGCTGGCGGTCAAGCTGACGGACATTGTGAAGCTGCGGGACAACGCCGAAACGGCCGACGACTTTTACACATCGAATGTGACCTTCCAGATGGCCAGCGAGGCCGCCAAGCTGCCCCACGAGTGCTGTGCGGATCTGATGCGCTTCCGCCCCCAGGACATACAGAAGGCGTTGCCCGTCCATGTGGAGATGTACAACATTTTCGGGCTGCGCTATGCAGTCGTCGATGTGGCCATGGTGGGCCTGCGAGACGTGGCCAGCTCTGACACGCACTCGGATCTCGAGTCCATGAAGCGGGCTCTGATCCAGATGGATTCACGCTTCGAGGAGCAGCTCTACAAACCCGAGCACCCGATGCCGCACGTATTCATCGAGCTCTTTCTGCGCTTCCGCCGCAACTATTCCAAGGAGCAAATCGATGAACCGACCCACTGGATCGTCACCAAGTACAAGATTTGCAAATTTCACGTTTTCACAGCGCCGCCAGTGCTGCGATAATATTTAATATATTTTTATTTCCAATTAAACTTTAGCCCAATGAACCATATGAACTAGTTTCGGCAGTCAGAGCAACCCTGCGACTCATTTCACCGCCGCAGCGCTGCCAACTCATTCGATTTTCGTGTGAAAAGCGTGACGTGTGTTTTGTCTAAATAAATATTTCAATTCTTATTGCTTTCATGGCTGAGTACAACCGCGATCGCCACCGCAGGCGTAATCGCCGCCACAATAGCGAGATCTTCCAGGGGGCCAAAGCTTGCAAGGCCATCATCAGAAAGCTGTTCTCCAGCGAATACAAGCCACTGGCTTGGGTATTCTACGACCCGATAGAAGCTGCATTTTTGGGTCTGCACGACTACCATACAATTGTCCAGAAGCCCATGCATCTAAGATACATCAGGAATCGCCTCAACAAGGGAGACTATACAAATGCTGAAGACTTTGAGCGGGACGTGCGACAGATATTCAACAACACGTATCTGTACACGCCGCCCAACCATGTGTGCCACCAAATGGCCAAGAAACTGGAGGGCATCTTTGACAAAATGTTTTTGGAGATATCGGCCACCCTAAAGAGCGACACCACAAGCGCGTATGCCATGAGTCCGTTCACTGAGAGCGCGGAGGGAATGCGCGAAGCGATTCCTAACTCACTCACGCCACTGGAGGCAGAGTGGAAGAGTGAGGATGACAAGCGTCCGTGGAGTAAGAAGGCTAACAAGAAACTGGCCAAAAGGCTTCGGAAACTCAGGGGAGAAGTCTTGCTGCGGGTCATGCACATAATCAAGTACATGGAGAAGCTGCCGATAGTCAAGCGGGAGCTGAACTTCGATATGGCCGCACTGCAGAGCGTCACGAAGCGGACCATTGTCAGCTACTTGTCCGAGATGGGAGGATATACATAGGTTCCGGCGAAAATAAAGATTTATTTGTTTGTTTTTGCCAAATGTCTGCGGTCCTTGTACTCTCCATTCCACACTTTGGCCCGCTCTATATCCTGGTGATTGGAGGCCATGTACGCGTAGAAGGTCTTCCGCGGCGGTCCGCCCGGATTGAGATAGTTCCCCATGGCATACCAGCAGGCGGTCATCTGATCCAAGTGCGCATTATTCAGTCGCGTGTAGTAAGCGGTCTTCACACGTTCCGCCTGCAGGTGGGATTTGGATGAGTAAATGTCTAGTGGCTGCGCATCGCATTGTTACCTCTGCCATGGCCGGTTTGTGGTATGCATAATTCTGCTGCGATTCGGGAGTGTGCATCAGCCCCATCCTGTCCGGATTGGGTGGATCGTTCTGCAGCTTTGTCACCGTCTCGAAGACCTTCAGCGACTCCTTGAGGTTGTCTTGCAGCTCCCGCTGCGAGTAGGCCTTGCCGTAGCGACGTTTGATCCACTGCCGCAGCACGGGTATCTTGTGGGCATCCGGCAGGGTGGCCAACACAAAGCGATGGCTCTTGCGCAGCTCCTTCATGCCATCGGCCAGCAGGCGATCCATGAGCTCATTATCATCCGGATCAAAGTATTCCATGTCGTAGTGCAGCACCTCGGGTCTGAGCGAGTGCTCGGATGGCGGACGTTCGTTGCGAACCATTTCGGCCCGCTTGATGGCCGCCTTCTTGGTCCAAACGGCTTTGGCGCAGCGCACCACAGCATTCACGATGTCCGCCTTGTGATCCACGTGACTGCGACTGCTGTGATTGCTCGACTCGTCAAAGGATTCTGTGGTGTCGGATGAACAATCAAAGGGAGCCTGCTCTGGCAGCAGCTCTTTGTGTGGCTCTAGCAATGGGCACGAGTCGCCAATTATTTCATCGTTCTGCGACTTTTCGAGCGCCTTCACTATCGACTTTGTCACGATTTTGGCCAGGTCGTAGGGCTTTGGCTGGCCCGACTGCAGCACTCGATGGTACCGGAAATAGTACGGTCTGTGGGCATCAGGTGCCCGGAAGAAGCTTTTCCTGGTGTGCTTGACGGCACTGTGGTAATCGCAGCCATCCGAATTCACGGGCTTGGCCTGGGCCTTGACCTTGTTCCCATCCAAGAGAAACGTGATGCGAGACTTGCGCGTCTCCGTGTGACCCTCGCACTCGTCCAACTCGATCGGCGACCTTTGCTCCGGTTCCATGTTGAAGTCGATTTTGTCCATGTGCAGGCCACCGCCCAACAGCCTGGAAGGTGTCTCTTTCAGCTCTTCGGGCTCGCTAATGAGTCCGCCGCCGCTCAACCTTCTGCCCGTGAATCCCTCCGTGGTGGTGACGGTGTGCGCCAGGCCGCAGTGCTCGCCCACCAGTGCCCTGCCCATCTGCTGGCCAGGCTCGGGCCAGCTTATCTTCACCAGCGCCTCCTGGCAGACCACACAGCTGTGATCCCTGAGGGCCAGCACCTTCACCTGATCCGTGTGCATGGCCTGGCGCAGCCGCTCCAGCGAAGCTTCGATGTCGTACTCCAGCTGATCGATGATGCGCTTCCGCCGCATCCTGCTGTGCGGCTGGCTGGGGTCCAGCATCTCCAGGCAACGGTCACGCGCCTTCACCGTGAGCTCATCCTTCAGCTGCTGTGCCTGGGCGAGCATCGCCTGATGGTGCATGCACAGGTTCGGCTCATCGTCGAACATCTTCTGCCGCTTGGCCGACTCGTAGGCCAACTTCGACTCTCCCTTCAGCTCAAAGTACTTGTCGATGGTCTCATCCAGGGTGCGCTTCACAATCCGCTTCACCGGATCCAGTTTATAGAGGGAAAACCACGGTGGATCGCGGGATTTTCCATAGTTGGGCGCACAATCCTTAGCCCAAAAGGGGAAATTAACCACAAAATTGGCTTCTCCCTTGCAGAGGAAGTTCGTGGGCTTGACCACAGGCCGTCGCATACGCTGCTTGTACGGGTTTCTGGTTGATTTCTTGGTGGCGTGCGGCTGGGAGGTGGCTGGTGCAATGGCGCAGCTGCTGATTGGATGATTGTGCTGCACATGCGGCACATTCCAGCGACTCAGCTGCGGCGGTGGCAGGATCCGATCCAACTCCTTCAGCGTCGGCAGCAGATCAATCTTGGCTATGGCGATCATGAGCAGCTTCTCGTTGATGCTGTATACTCCATTCTTTTGGCATGTCTTGTAGTATCCCTCGAGGATGAAGAAGAGAAAGGCCAGATCGTTGCCCCGACTGAGCTGCACCATGGTGTGGATCTTCCGCTTGCCAATCAGCGGATGTATGCCGAGCATTTTCAGGCACTCCTCCACCCGGAAGCTGGTGCCCTGCTCAAAGTCATCCAGCAGTCCGGAGGATATGCCAGCAACGGCCTTTAGCTGATAGTCGGAGATGCCAGTGTACCACTTGGTCAGGTCGAGCTTCTCGAAGAAATCGCCCAAATCGTTGCTCATTTCTACGCGAATAAATTTCTCTCTCACATTCAATTTAAGTCTAATGAAAATCTAACGAATAATGACTGATATTTTAACTGAAAACTGATGAATACTTGATCGGTACAACAACAAAATGTACTTGTGGGGAAGGTTGTTTGTATAGCTTTGTAAATATCGTCCATTGAATTCACATTCACTTTAATCTTGTGTGTTGAATGTTGAAAAAATTCTGTTTGTTGGGTGCCCAAAATTTCAGACATTTTGTGTCCAATGTCAGCGCTGGTTCCAGACGATTTTGAAAACTGTGTTCCGTGTGACTCGTACTTTGGTGTCCCATCCAAGATGCATCGCCGTTGGTGCCACGGATGCCCGGCAGGCAGTTGCCATGAGTCCTCCCACTCCTGGTGCTGCCAGTGTGCTGCCCAGTGGAAGGCCATGCAGATGGCCCAGCGAATCGAGGAGTGTGTGCCTGGCCTCAATGGCTTCTGTTTGCGGTGCAACCGGGAGATTGTGGATGCCCACCAGTATCCTCCATGCGGCTGCCAGGGGGAACTCGAGATGCAGGACGAGGAGATCAGTCAGACGAGCAGGTGTCGGAGAACAAGGAATAGGCAAAGGAACTGTCAATGCTGCCAATGTCAGGACTGCAGCATCCAGACAGACATCTCCTACGACACATGCCTATGTTCCGTGGACTCGTGCACACAAACGCCCGAGGCCGAGACCGAGACCGAGCAGGAGAAGGAGGATGAGGAGGAGGAGCCTGGATACGTGACCGTTACTAACGTATTTGAGGAGGAGGCGGCGCTGATACACCGCACAGGCGAAACGGAGTACGTGCTGACCGTTCGTCAATCGGTGACAAAATTCCCAAACGATGGTTCCAAGCCGATGGTGGAAACGACGGAGATCAACAAGCGGATGTCCGTTACGCAGTTTGGCGATATTTCCGAAGTGGCCACAGAGACCCGGCAATCGGTGGCCGATTTTAATGATGTAACAGAAACTGTCGAAAAGGTTACCCACACTTTTCAAAGTGATCCCAGGCACGAGACAAAGGACCCACAAAGTGATCAAAGACACGAAACGAAGGGCGCTAAATATGATCGAAAGCACGAGTCAAAGGATGCTGAAAGTGATCCCAGACACGAGCCAAATGGTCAAGTAATTGATCGAAGAAACCAATCAAATGACGCTAAAAGTGATGCGAGATACGAATCGAAGGCCGCTAAAAGTGATTGGAAACCCGAGTCAAAGGACCGTCAGGGTGTTCGAGGACACCAGCCAAAGGGTCAAGTATCGTCAAGCGAGCCAAGGCTCGAGTCAAAGGAGGCTAAAAATGATGGAAGCCACGAATCGAAGGCCGCTAAAAGTGATCGGAAACGCGAGTCACAGGATCGCGGACTGACAAGCGAGCGAAAAAACGAGTCAAAGAACCCTCGAAGTGAACGAAAACAAGAGGAAAAGGATCTCATAGCGACTGGTGATCGAAGAACCGAGTCAAAGAACGCTCACAGTGATCAGATAACATCGGGGCAACGATCGCTAGGACCAAAAACCGCAGCTGATCAAAAAAACTTGCCGGTGAAACGTCTAGAGTCAGGCGATAAAATACTGCCACTAGAGGAGTCACCATCACATCAAAGTGAAAGACAATCAACTGGATCAAACCGACTCCAAAGCGACAACCGAGAAGATCTTGAAAATATGCGATCGGGAATGCCACTGGGGAGATCTATTTCCGCATTAGAACCCATTTCCAGTAGGCAATATTTCGAATCGGAGCCAAGTGTCCTTGTGTACAGGGAGACTGTGGAGACGGTGCAACACTTACCCATTGAGTCGGAAGTCGTCCAAAGTGCAGGCTTGAGAGAAGAGATTTCCAAATTCAGTACGTTACACCCCTCGGAGTACCAGAGTAATATAACCTCGGAAGCAGGCAGCCGCAAGAGTAATGTACCTTCGGGAGGGAATGTGACTCCGGGTTTTGCGGGCAAGTTAATCCGAAGTGACGTACATTCGTATTGGCCTGGAGGAAGTACTGACCCAGACAACGATAGTTTGGGTGCTATGTCCGTGCTGCACATCAGGACAGTGCAAAGGTCAGAGACGGAAGAAACAGTGCCCGACACTGAGGGCAAAGAGAAGGCACTCGAGGTGCTTGAAGTGAGAACCGATGAGATTAGAATTAGACCCCCAGAACCAGAACCAGAACCAGAGCCAGCGCCAGAGCCAAAGAAAATTAAGCGTCCAAGAACTGGTACAAAGAACACATACCCTTCAGACGATTTGATTCGACATATGGTGAAAAAAGGATACGACTGCGTCCCTTGCTGTGACTACAACTGCTGCTGCTGCTTCCGTGGGTGCTGCTGTGATTCGTCCTGCTACTCGAACTCCTACGGCTGCTGCATGAGTCCCTATTGTCCCTAGGAACCTCCTCTAGCTAAATACATCCGATAAATTCAATAGCCCAAAATAATATTAATATATAATCATCCGCTAGTTCCCTCAATAAATATGCCGCCCAACAAACAACAAAATCAACAAATTTGTGCCTTCGAATGGTTTTTGGCTTTGGCTTTTGGCTTATTCCTTTTCCATTTTGCATGTGGAAGTGCTGGTAAAATAATTTGCGGCCAATCTAACCACAGGATCGTTATTGATGCAGACGATTAGCAAAGTCCTTGACCAGGCGGCCACAGCACTCTACCAAATGAGATTTGGCTCTGAACTGCAGCTTATGGTATTCCGAATGCATTTCGTATATTGTTCGCTTGAGTGCGCCGGGCCAGGGCCAAAATGATAATTGCCATTTCAAATAGAATTATAATATTATGCTGGCCTCAATATCTGAGTCGGATTCATTGATCATTTCCAAGTCAAAGTCGTCAGTGAAGTTGTTGAAGGGAAGTCCTTGATTTCCATACTCGAACGTATCTGATTTCTGATTTCTGATTTCTGCAAGCAGGTAAATATTGTGTCTCTTGGACATTTCCTAGCTGTGTCAGCTTGGGGGGGGAAATTGAATATTTTATTTACGGATATTAAATGCCAAACTTCTTTGGCTACATTTGTGTCCCCCGCCCCAGAGCCCGCTGTCGTGCTTGAGAGTTTATCAACGAAATGTTTGCCATTTAATTTTTGTTGACCCTTCGATTGGGCCGGGTTGCGAATAATTTAGCCATTTGCGCCAAAGCAAACAACGCAAAATCTAGAGCCAACCCAAGCCAACGGATGTTCACTTTAGGCCACTAAAAGTTTTCTTTCTTTCTGTTATTTTTTGTTGTTGTTACCTCAACCTCTGCTTACCACTGCCGCCTGTGCCTTGGGGCGGCAGTCATTTTATTTCGTTTCATGTTTTATTCACCACTTCCGGCGGAAATAGACATAGACGAGATGGTGTGTGTGTGTGTGTGGATGAACCAGAGACGAGATTGGATGGATGGATACTCGGATGGTTGGTCGCTTGGTTATGTTTGATTTTTGGATGCTGCGAGCAGAGTAGGACACAAGCATTTGTTTTGCTCCACTAAGTAGATACGCTTTTCGCAAACAAATCCCACATAAATGCTCAATTTATAACGGACCGGAAGTTAAACTTAATCAAGCGAACTTTCTGGCTTATTGTTTAGTTTTTCCTCCTCCCACCACCACACACACACTCTTTCCGTATTTACTTAACATATTTTATTGCAAATACTTTGCTCTGTCTCTCTGTCTGTCTGTCTGCCAGTCTGTATGATGATGATGGGCTCGGTGTCCGCTCCGCTTTTGCCGGTGGGATTACATGGGGATTTTGTGTGCTGTGCCCAAATACTCGTACACTCCGACTCGACTCGCATTTCCATTTCGGCATCAACTCGATTCACAGTCACAATCCCTCGGTGCTTTTCCACTTGCTCTCGACCACTTTTGTGCATTTATTTATTGGCTTGATTGTTGTCCTTTTCGTTACGTTTCATTCCATATTTCGTTTGATAAATCTCCAGCATGAAACATGAATGGTTTTAGGATTTGTGTGTGTCTGTCCACCCCCTCCCTGAATAGTTAAAGAGTTTTAGTGGGCATCGGGCTGGAAAGGCCTTACATTGTGGGGATTTGCATTCCAGGGCACCAGAACTGTTTTGAAGTGAAGCAAAGTCTACCTTTGGTTGGTATCCCTTTGACATCTGACGTTTGTCAGAGAATTCTTTTTGAATTCCAACTTTGTGTCATTCTAGTTGCATTCATATTTTGTGGGTGCTTTTAGCTCTTTGCAATTAAATTATCCCTTCAATTATCGCTGCACAAATTGCAGTGAACCGCAAACAATTGTCAAGCAATTAAATTGATTTCAATTCAGTTTTTGGACACGCCTGCCAATGCTCGTTGGCATGCTGCATATTTACTTGAATGTGTCTGGTGGCATGTCGTCTCCTAGGGTTGCCTATTGTCTGTGTGCGTGCCCTTCAGATGAGGGCCAAACGCACACCCACTCACTTGCAAGACAAAACAAACAAAGGAAGAGAAGGCTGGGCAGGGCAGGGCAGGGCAGGGCAGGGCGAATCGACGCGTTTCGCATTTGCTAATGCACTCCGATAATTGCATGATGTGCCGCACACATCACATCAGTGATGATGTTTGGTTGTGCATCAATGTCTGCAAAACTCCTGCGGGCTGTCACCGGAAGATGCCGGTGTGCCAGATCCCCGGTCCCACGTGGAGTCGATTCTCCTCCATGTTTGCGCAATTAGAGCTCATTGTTGCGTTCAATGTGCGAAATTTGATTTGTCAAAGTTTATGAAATGCAAACAAACAATAGATCCAGAGGGGGCTTACCTAATTGCATCGCCACGTTGCCATGTCGTGTCTGTGGGTGAGGTTTCCCCTTGAATTCCGAGCAGCCTTTGACTAACGCGTCATCTGGGAAATGGAACTCAGACTCGTGTGTGATATGTTTCGGCTAACATCTAGGAAAGTTTGATCCAAATTCAACAATGGAAACATGAGGGCCTGCCCGAAGATGAGACTCGACCTTCCACTGATGCTCTCCAGTAAATTTCTCTGCAATCGGTCACCGCATAATGGCCGGCAGCGGAGAGCGATGCTCCGTTTGCTGTGGACACAGACCCCGCTTGGTGCCCGTCACACTTTCCTGACTCCAAGACCAGATCTGCAGGGCAGCACCGAGACGAGTCGCCTCAATATACAGTTGGAAGTTGTGCGAAGTGTGGACAGGCCTAGTGGGGTGTCGCTGCCGGCCATGATCTACTTCCACAGTCCGTGGAGCTTGCTGACCAGCAAGCTGAGCCTGCTCAAGCTCAAGCTGCTGTGGGACTGGCGCTTCTCGGAGGAGCAGTTCCTGGAGAACTCGCAGCATGCGGCGCTCATCATCACCGACTTCATACGCCGCCAGCGGTCCCGCAATGTCGAGAGATGTTCCACGCCCATGGGCTACAAGCAGATCTGTTACGACCTCATAGACGGCGCCCACGACTGGCGGCTGCACATGATGCGCTTCGAGCGGCACCACATCTATCGTACCATCCCGCTGAGGGTGCAACTCCTGCGGCACTACGGCCACAAGTTTGCCTTCATAGACGTTGTCTACGTGGCCCTGCGTCGCAGCAACGACTTTACATCGCCCCAGGATCTCGACGAGGTGCAGCATCTGATGGGGATGCATGGGAATAGTTCGCCACTGACTGTGGAGCATCCGCTCATCTTTGCCGAGATATTCGTCCGCTATCGGCGGGACTACTCCACCAGACCCACTCCCATGGGCAATGTGCGGGAGAACAGTCGCTGCATGGGCCAGTGGCTGGTGTCCACCTACAAGATTTTGCAGTTCGATCTCCTCGACCAACATTCGCAGTTCGATATTCCAGAGACACTATATCTTGCCACTCAATAAAACTGTTTGCAGCGAGAAAAGCTTTGCTTTAAGTTGCTCAAAGGGGTCCCCCTGAAGCTCTGATGAAGACGCTGTCATAATCTGCAACGATAATGAGGCTGGTAAGGCTCAGGGGGCAGTAAGGTCTGCTGTTTCCCTTTTCTACCTTTTGCACTCCTTCATGTGCAGTCCTTTGGGGGGAGTCCTGCTGCTGCTCCTTGTCTTTGTTTAGTTTGCAACTCATGAATATCTAATGCGAGTGGCAGTCGGAGAAAACTGCTGTGCATGCTGATAACCCCGTGCGCAGATATTGAAATATTTCTCACTCAAAATGTGATCATAATTCAACCAATTAAGAGGGTTTCCCCTTGCTGGCGTAAGATTCATGTTGCCACTAATGCCGCAATCACAATTTGTCAACTGGTTGCCTCCAGCGATTCCCTGCCGCTGTGCCGCTTATCGGAACACGTTCTTCCATGTGCAGCCTGTCAATAAGTTGAATTTAGTATGCGCGTGAGTCCAAGTCCAAGTCCAAGTCTACAGATTGCAGACCATCTTGGACGTGAACTTTTGTGGGTGCTTGTGTTACTCCTGCCACTGCCACTGCCACTGCCGCCTTCGTCTTGCATTTAAATTTAAAGCGTGCAAGTTTATGCTTTTAATTTTCCGCTCAATAAAATCCGGTGGCTTTCGCCTGCACAAATTACACTGTTGGGAGCCATTGCCCATTGCCAGTTGCCAGTTGCCCATTGCCTTCCACCGCTTACCCTCATTACGATGCAATAATGAATTTCAGCAACATTTGCTGCAAGGTTATTGTCCCTTAATCAAAAAGGCAGTGGTGCCACGGGAACTGCTTGGGGGGTTTGCCTTTTGATAATCGTGAAATAAATCCCCCGTTGAGGGAGCATAACATTTTCACTTTTAATATAAATTACAAAGGCTTTTCTTCCACGAAAAGTACGCATCCCTATCGATAGTCTATTGCTATGTTCTTATGAGAAAACGTTTCCCTTTGAGTGATAGTTTTCTTTAGTTTGGAATTCAACAACAATTACTGCGGCGCGTGTTTGCTTGCAGACTTGGAATTATTTTCGAAATTGCCCTGTCACGTAAGCAGCGAAAACAAAGGCGGCACCACCCGTAGCCCCCCTCCGGCTCCTGCCAGAAAGCCATAGTTAAAAGTTTCATGACACAAACAAAACCCAACTAACAAGGATGTGAGAACAGCCCGGATGGCTGAGGCAACGAAGTTAAGACACACTCTCCGAAGGGGGAGCACACAATTCTGGCTAGGGTATTGTCTGGTGTGTTGGAGGAGATTCCTTTGGCTTGTCCTGGCACCTCGTACTTCAGCTCCAGCAAAGCACTTGCTGCAATGACAATTTTGTTTTCGACTCGACATTGCGGGACACTGACCGCCGCTGTAATGGCCAACAAAACAAATGACGCCGCCATTGACAGGACACACTCATGGGTGTAGAGCCATGAGCGCTGCCACATGGAAGAAGGAAGAAGGAGGAAGGATTCGCATGCCGATGACAATGACTTTTTAAATTGTTTCACAAAAGTGTCAGTTTTGGTCAGAAAGTTTTACTAGCGTCACACCAGCTGCTCCTCCAAATAGATGATGGGCAAAGCATTCTTTTACAGAGAAAGTGCAATGCCACTTGATGATGATCATTAACATCATCATTAACATCAGCAGCAGCAGCCACAGGCATCACGATAACACTGCGACGTTACGTGATAATGAGTATGAACAGGCGAAATCAGACTTTATGACTTCATTTGAGTCCCTCTCCATTAGCAACTGGCTGGCAGGCTGCCAGTGCACACACCGCGACGCCAGCATCCGCGAGGCTTCTCAAATTGCAGGTGTGGCAACCACACCGCTGACTCTGCGACTCCAACTCCAGCATTGACTGGTGCCGTGTGTCGTGTGTCAGTTAATGTGTGTCCTCCTCGGCAACAGTGCATTTGATGCTGCCGCCATCTGGGCAACGTGGAGACACCATCGACATCCTTGCAGACACAATTAAAAAGTCATTCGCTGGCTTTGATAGCGCCATTTGGCTGGTGGATAACTCTCCCATAGGAAGGTTAACTTTTGCACATAGTTGAGAGACCTTATCCCTGGCATCTTTTACACACAAGACTCTCTGTATGCATATCTTATCTGTAGGGCAACAAACACACATTTTTCTTCTTGTTTGCTGAAAATTTTGCCGGAAACTAATTTCCCAAGTCGTCATCATGCGAGGCAACTCAACTCAATTTGAATTGATAAAGTGCATTTGAATGCCAGAAGTAAACAATTTGGAATGCAAATTGGGGAAAGCATGTGAGTGCAGAACGACAGCGAGGGTTGCTCCATCCAGAGAGCATTTCAATCACATATGCAAATTTATGCGAGGGGACAGCACAGGAGATTTTGTGGCAGTTTTTTTGAGTTTCCCATCGAATAAAAGACTTAGGCACTCCCCATTGACAATTTCCTAAAAGAAAAGTTACACCCACGGTGAGAACTCTATAATTACACCCCGCTGACGTCATCTTCTTTATGCAATGGACCATCCATAAGGGAATCCCACACGCAACTCCCACCCATCCCGCTCTCCCGCTCAGCCATCAATGCGTATGCAGAAAACTTTTGCCGCCCTTCGTTCGGGGATAAGTATGGAAAATATTTAAAAGAAAAGTTTCGACTTGGAAAAACACTCGAACAGCTGGAGCAGGAACTGTAACAGCAGCAGGAGGACGAGGACGAGGACAAGGAACTGGCGCCAGACTCTGGGGTAAATAATTTTCAATTTTCTCGTTAAAAACATTGCAAACATTTCAGTGTGTGGCTTTTTTGTTGTTGTTGTTTTTTTTTTATATTTTTATTAGAAGAAAAAGAAGAAGTGCGAGTGCATTTCAAAAACTGCAACGTTTTGAAACAATTTTTAATGAGCACCTCAGCGGTGGGGGCTGAGGGAAGAAAATTATTTTACTTCTCCCCACAGTGGCTGATGAAAAATTACTTTCATTTTAATTAGGAACTGCCTCAAAGAGCAAAGTACGAGGAAGAGCTAGCAGAAGAGTGCAAAAAGACGAAAAATTAAATTAAAAACACTTTCGTGCATTTAAGCAAATAAAGAGAGCGAACACACACACCTACACACCTACACACACACGAGCACGCACACCCTCGCATAGTGGAAAAGCTGGGGGCACAGCATGCATGCGGTGGCATTTTTTTCCCTTTTCTCCTTTTTTTTTTTTGTTGTGCACCGTGTACGTGTACGTGCCGAGCGGAGTTTTATTTTTTAATTAAGCTGTTTACATTTAGTCGTAATGTCCTTGTCGCGTCCCTTTATAGAGCGTAGGATGTGTGTATATATGGGGCTGGCGAATGGGGCTGGGCGCGGCAGCGTAGGTGCCAAGAGTAGTTTGTTTTCTCCGACTAAGAAAAACGCTTGCCGCACCTTTGTGGGTCAAGTGAGCAGCCGGGCTCTTGCAGCTGTCGGCGCTACAATTAAAAATGTGCAAACTTGCATTATTAAAAAGAATTCCACGACACTTCGTGGCCAAGCTTGGTCCAACCACAGCCTGGCCCCACCCCGCTCGAGCCTTCCCCCTTGGCGCAGACAATAAAGCAAAATGGTGGCAAGAAAGAATATGAGTCCTGTGCTAGCTTTTCTGTAACATTTTAGGGCCAAATTAATGGCACACCACTTTTGGAGCGCACAAAGGGAATGGACAGCCATGCCAGTTTTAATAAATTCCGCAGCACAATTTGATTAATTGGTAGACATGAGAGCAGTAAACATCGACCTAATTTGAGCGTTAAATGCTTCGCATCCTTTGGCAAAAACGCAGAGTAATTTAATAGCAACATTCTCAGAGAAAAACACACAATTAATTCAAGGAGGGAAAAGTCAATTAATTGCAACGTTTTTGGTTCATTAATGCAATTGGAATATTTTTGCAGGGATGCCTATAGGGCCGCACACACACACAAATCAATTAATTAAAATGTTTTTTCCTGCTCTCTGTGTGTGTGTGTGTGTGTGTGTGTGTGTGTTTTCTTTTTTTCCGCTCTGTTTGCTTGCTTACAACGTTTCTGCGAGGTAATTGGCCACAGGTGCGACAGTTGGTGGTAATTGATACAAAAAATATAACCACTGCAATGCCAAAACATGTTTATCAACGTGATATTTCACGCATCACTTGGGCATCGTATCGGATGCGCACAGTACCCCAGAGCACTCCAGCTTCCCACTTTTGTATGCTAGAAGCTTCTGATTAGTGCCGCATGGCTCGGACTCTCGCTCCTCATCAGCGATGAACAAAGGCCCGGGCCATGTGGCCGAAACAAATTCACTCGCGCTTTGTGCAGCAAATTGGCAAAAAGCCTTGGCCAAGCAAAATGCCGGCAGCGGCCACGTTACGCCTGCAACAGTAGAAGCCAGCAGCAGGGTTGGGGCATACGGCAGTGGGGCAGCAGTCAGACACATTAGCAGTTTCACTGGTCATTACGACTTTTTGTGTTGTTTGCAATGTTACTCATCGCTGCCCTCAGTCTCTTGTTTGGGGCGCGTGCCTGGTGCGTCTCTTGTCGTGTTTGGCCAACAATCAAAGCACATTTCCCATTGTTTGCTGTCCAATGCCAATGCGGCATCACGTCCCGCAACGTTCCGTTTCAGCTGTTAATCCTCTCAACTTTTCCTGCCTCTCACACTGAACCTTCGATTTGGGTCTGGGTAATTCCATGGTCAACGGAAGACCATTTATGCTCTACGTCAAGTTCAAGAAAATTAACCAGGCGGTGGTCCAGTCGAAGCTACCCGCTGGATTGGGCACTAAGTTCAATTCTTATGCCAGAGCTCTCCTCCCACTCGAAGACGATGTGTCAAAACCACTATTCGCCTTTGTTTTACGAGTGTCTTGTAACTGACAATAGCTCTTTCTTCTTTTTTTTGCCACACAGATACGAGTGTATTGATCATCAAAATTGACGAGAACTGGTCCCAAAGTGTGTTGGCCATAAA